GGGGGGCCGAGCTGGAGGGCGGCGAGCAGCCGGACGTCATCCAGCGCAGCCACGCCCTGGCCTACCCCGACATCACCAACTTCCTGTCGGTGGAGTGCCGGACCCGGTCGCATGGCTCCCGCTACAGTGAGAGCAACTTCAGCGTGGACGAGCAGGACCTGTCCAGGACCGAGTTCGACTCCTGCGACCAGTACTCCATGGCGGCCGAGAAGGACTCGGGGCGCTCCGACGTGTCCGACATGGGCTCCGACAACTGCTCCCTGGCCGATGAGGAGCAGACGCCCAAGGACTGCCCGGGCCACCGCTCCCTCCGCACGGCGGCCCTGTCCTTGAAACTGCTCAAGAACCAGGAGGCGGACCAGCAGAGCGCCAGGCTCTTCGTGCAGTCGCTGGCCGGCCTGCTGCCCCGCCTGCTGGGGCTGCAGACCACCGAGGAGGTGGACCTGTCCCTGCAGAACTTCTCCTCCACCTTCTGCTCTGGCCTGCAGGCGGGTAAGAGGCGTTGACATGGCTTGTCGCCCAGCTTACAGTGCGCTGTAGAAGAGCAGGAGCCGACTGCAGTGGAGAAGTACAGTCTCCAAGCTAGCCAGGAGCCTGCAGCCCAGCACTATGCCTGGCGTTGACGCAGAGGGGCAAAGAAGCTGCCCCGGTTCAGATCAGTCCGATTGGTTACAGTAGGTTGAAGGTTGAGTGTTGAAGGTTGATGCTCTAAGCACAGCAGGGTAAACATTCAGAATTCTTCTGGATCAAGTTCAGGACCTGCTCCCCACTGTTGGGAGTAACTTGCATTACATCCACGCTGAAAAGAGAAGAAAAGGGACACGACGTTTCGGCTGTGGAGCCTTCTTCAGGTGTGAGAAAGAGAGGAAAGTCAGCAGCTGGTAAAGCAGGGGAGAACAAGAGCCGGGAGTGGAGAGGCGAGAGCAGGAGGGAGGCAGAGTGGGCACTCAGGTGGTGTGAAGTTGAGAGAGAGGTGAAGAGAGGTGTGAAGTCAAAAACCTTCAAAAGAATAGAGAGGATTAGAAGGAAACAAGTCTGTCGTTGAGAGAAGGGGGAAGGTGTGATCCTAGTTTCAGGATAATTTTGGTTCTGGATGTCTTTCTGCAATAGGAGTTGAGAAACCCATCTTTGAGAATGCAGACGGAGAGATCAGTGTGATCGTGCCCATTGGAGGTGAAATGAGAAACATGTTCTCTGAAGCGGTCTCCGAGTCTCCTTCCTGAACCGAGCTAGCCAGGAGCCTGCAGCCCAGCGCCGTCAGCGCGCAGTATGCCTGGCATTGATGCAGGCGCATGCTGCTGTTCAGGTAGTCCTGGCTCCAGCTGGGCAAAGACACTGCTGCCCCGGTTCAGATCAGTCCGATTGGTTACAGTAGGTTGAATGTTGAAGGTCGAAGGTCGATGCTCTAAGCAGGGTAAACGTTCAAAATTCTACTGGGTCAAGTGCAGGACCTACTCCCCAGTTGTTGGAAGTAACTTTAGTTTACATTATGATACGATACTACTTTTTTTCTGATTTCTTAGCAATTTGTCTTTCATCCAAGCTGGTGCAAATGTAACAAGAGATGACAGAGTTGGAAACAAAAGCTAGGAACTTGGAATCTTGTTTACATGAAATAGCATCAGTTCAGTTCAGAAGCTTTGATGATCACTCTGTCAGACTTTTGACCAGATTTCATGTGGAATATAGAAATGTGATGATGTGCTAGTCCTGTTTATCATATGTTAACTCTTTTTCCTGTTGGAAGAAGGTGATTGAAGGTGATTTTTTTCATATTCAGTGGTTGTATTGCAACTGGAGCTATGTGTGTTTGTGAGGAGACAGTTATGTCCATTGAAGACATTGCCCTCACTGCTGTGTAGCTGAAAAGCGAGCATCTGTCAGGAGTGTCTAAATGGCCTCAAAAAGCATGAGGTTAATGTTCATCACCAGTAACTGCCAAGTGCCCTGCTGCTGCTTGGCAAATGTCAGAAACAGCAGATGTTTCTTCGCACGTCCAGTTTACCTGACCTGTCAAGAGGAACAGCTTACACCACAGATCAGACTAAACGCTCTTGCTAACTGGTGCGTTCAAGAGTCATTAGCGCTGTAGAAGTGGGAGAGTGTTGTGTACTAAGGGCAGGTTTGCAGGAAATTACAGCAAGTCAAATATTAAAACAGCTGAAGATTTTTACATTGTTTGCCTGATTACCAACAATTCTGCTGATAGTGACTGGCTAGGATTTCATATCGGGGACTTTTTTTACTTATCCTTTTGCTTTTCAATACCACAGTTTTGCTGAATAAGATCTGATATGAACCCTAGATTGTTGTAAGCTTGCAAGGACTTTAATAAGGAATCCAGAATATCGCAGAATCTAGATTTTTTTTCTCTTTCGCTTCGTGTCTTCCATTCCTGCTTGCCTTTTAAAAAAGCCGCTATCCAACGGCAGATTTGACTAATATTTAGTTTGACGTTAGGGGAAACTAACTTATTTTTTAAATAAGCTTTACTGCCAGCCATAAATTAGGAATCTGTTGTCTTCACTTTAACCAGCACTTGACCACATGCAGTATGATTTGACAATGACTGAATGCTTTTTTTCCTGATGTCCTCTGGCTGGCGCAGGTGGGATTCACTCTCCCGGGTTCGAAGGCAGTGGGAATCTGAGCTGTCAGGCCCTAATGAACGCAGATGGTCTGTACCTGGTGTCTTACTATGCTCTGCTGCTCAACCTCAAGCTCTGCTGCTGTGACTACTACAGGAGGAAGCCGGCTCCGGTGTTTGTCAGCCTGGTGAGCAAACGCACTTTTCTCCCTGCGGTCGCAGTGGGCTGGAGCAGACCTCACCGCTTTCTGTTAGGGAACTGGCTTCTCGTAGCTCCAAGAAATTGTAACACTGTGCATGAATAAGTGGAAGAAAGCCTCTTTGCATCTCTGTTGTCTCCTGGGAATTGTGCTTCTTTAAGTACAGCACATTTCAGAAAATGGGGAACAAAAGTGTGGATGCTCTCAGTGTGCTGTACCTTGAAGATCTGGAAATTTGAATAACAGAGGAGGAATAACAATTACCTGAACGCAGCTCACTGGCCAAGCTCCTGTGATGTCAAGAGTATCTTTATCGCGTGAGAAAAACCGTGGAGCTGCGGACTCTTCTCTTGCACAACTAGAGATGTATTTCTTTATTTAAAACTTTGCCAATCAAACATTTGAAACACGCATCCGCCTCAGGAAACTGTTTCTGTCTCTCATCCAGAATCCATAACACTCAAAAACGGTTTTGCATACAATTTTATTACAATCATTATTATAAATTATTCATTTCTCATTCTAAAGCAGCCTACAGTTAGTAATGCATCTGCTTTGTCCGCTACTGTGTAATATAAAATACCACACGGCTCATCACACTGGGGGTGGAGCTGAGTGCTTGCTTTCTACGAAGATCGATTCCCTGGGGACTTTAAACAGCATGAGAGTAAAATGAGAATACTCCTACAGCCAGCGGCGCAGGGAATCAGCCAGCCCTGTTCGCTGTGAAACATGGCAAGTGTAGAGTAAGAAAGGTTCAGTCTTGTCCTTAAGAAAAGTACAGTTTCGGCAGACTTAGAGCAGTGTGAGTGTGTCGTAATCATTCAAGCAGTGTGACATTTTTCAAGGCCTTTTATCCAGGTGTGATCATGTGGTACTTCAGCCTTGCTAGACTAACCCTGCAGTCTCCTTGGTGATTTATGAGCATATCGGTTTCATTGCACATGGTCAGAGAGCCACTGAGATTGAAATGCAGACGGAGGAAGATGTCCTCTATTCCTGTATCTCTTGATTTCCCCTGCCTGTTCCTCATTACAGTACCCCGAACCTGTCCTCCCTTTCAGTCTAGACATCGGCCAGGGCAGTGACAGTGACGTCTAATAAAGTAAATTCGCTGCTGCGTATGCTTTACTGTGTAGCTCCAGGCATCTGTCTTGTCCAGGGCCAGATGACTAAGACAAGGCCTGTTGGAGGTGGGATTTTCCTCTTCCCAGCAGGCTGTGGTGCAGCAGGTCTCCGTCGTGCTGCGCAAAAGACCGGCTGTCCTGCTGCTTTCTCCCCTGCAGAAGGAGTTTGTGCGGCAGATCCAGAGCAGCGGGGTGCTGGTGGTCCTGTCCCAAGCCTGGATCGAGGAGCTGTACTGCCAGGTCCTGGACAGGAACCTGCTGGGGGAGGCGGGCTACTGGGGCACGCCGGAGGAGCACTCCCTCCCCCTCATCACCATGCTGACAGGTAGGCTAAAGAGGCAGGCGCCTGCACCGCGCCCTGCGGGAGCCTCGCACCCTCAGAAACACAGGGGTGAGCAGATCAGCTGATTCTCGGAGCATGAAAACCACAAGAACAACTGCAAGTCAATGAAAGTGGTCATTCAGCCCATGTAGCCTATTTGGTAGTTGGTTGTTAATTGACTGTTATGGAATGGTCCCTTGTTCCAGTCTCTCACTACCCTTTGAGTAAAGAAGGGCCTCCAGTTTTTGCTATTTGCCATAAGACAACTTGCTTCCTTTCTCTTTCTTTACATCTTAGTTTATGGCTAATTGAAAGGCAGGTCATGCTTAAAAACCCCTGCAGAAAACAGGGGGAGGCAGGAAAGCACCGTGAGCACAAAACCAGGCGCAGGATAACCAGCAGCTGTGCCAGTGTGGGCGGTGTCTCTCCAGGGGTCATGGAGAAGCGTGGCAGGGTCGCTCATGGGCTGACAAAGCAGGACAAGGCGAGGATCTGAGCTCGGCGTATCTCGCACTCCTGAGTGCGGATATCTTGTTGTGCATCTGCAGACATGGACGGCCTGGGCAGCAGCGCTGTGGGCGGCCAGCTGATCCGCAAGGCCTCCCTGCAGTCGCCCCTCTCCTGCGACAGGAGCACAGACAACACCGTCCTGGCAGGTACTCGCTCTTCGAGTTTCTACTTCAGGCAGCCGACATCGCAAATCACCCGCTCTCGTCGTGCAGAACGAGAGCTGAAACGCATCTTTTAACCCCCCCGCCCCGGAAAAGACAGCTCGTAAAAATAACCGAACGCAGTTGAGCCACTCTGTTGCCATAGCAGCCAGCCCTCTTTACCTCGTTCTGTATTCATGGTGCTGCTCGGCCTTTTTGTTCAGTGTTAAGAGCCAAGCACTTACAAAACGCGAAGGTTCACAGAGAATTGTTTCATTTTTACAATATATCCTGCATGTAGGCGTATCTTCTGTTTTCTGGGGTCCAGTCCTGTTCCTGGAGGGACACTGTCTGCATCAGCGTGGGAGAAACTGATGGGCTTGTGCAGTTAAGCCAGTTAACTGGCATTTAAGAGCCTGGACTCTGGACTGAGAACTGCAGACACACTGGCCCTCCGGGACCAGGACTGGACACCCCTGCATTACAAGTCCTAAAAGTCCATGGCAGTTGTCAGTTTTCTGATGGGTACTTTTTTGTCCACTACTGTGGAAATTTGGCTTTTGTATTTTTATGGGAGAAGCCAAACTCACAAGCAAAACATAAAAGTCGCATAAAATCACATACCGTACATGAAATCACAACAACAGTATGTGCTATATAAATAAATGGATAAATAAACAGGCAGTGGGGGGGACTACATTTACACACATTCATTGAGCTGTTTTGTTGCAGACGGGACAAAGGGCCTTCTTATAAATGCTTTTTTTATCTGGTACCCTTGTAATGAGGAATCCCTTGTTTCATCAGTTCAGTTTCACGTGTACCGGATGTAATTCGGTTTTTTAAATGTGACTCGTGGGAATTTTTTTTCTCATAGAGAGCAAAATACCCTTCTGGGAAGGGCTGTAGCACAGACCTGCGCTTGACCTCAGGGCCTCGGGCCCTGCTTCTTCTTGTAGGTGTGGTCTTCGCACGCTACATCCTGATTGGCTGCTGGAAGAACCTGATTGACACCCTGTCCACCCCCCTCACGGGCCGCATGGCTGGCAGCTCCAAGGGCCTGGCCTTCATCCTGGGTGCCGAGGGGGTGAAGGAGCAGAACCAGAAGGAGAGGGACACCATCTGCCTGAGTCTGGATGGCCTGAGGAAGGCAGCGGGACTCAGCTGTGCCCTAGGTAACAGGGCAGGGGCAGGGGCAGCTGTGAATACCCCCCTGCGGAGGGTGGCAGTCCGGGCGGGGAGAGCCTGTGGGGCGCAGGGGGGTGTTCCCTGCCAGCAGAGAGAGTGAACATCTTCTGGAGGCACCAAGGGATCTGTCTTGAGCTGTGAACACTCCTGTGAAAAAACCCCATTCTTTGCCTTCTAAGCCCTTATTAAGGTGGAATAAGGTTTATTCTGCCTTAATGGATGGAACATTTCTGCCTTTGCACTTGTAAAACATGTTTAAAGCACCATGCGGTTCTGAACACAGGGTCTTCAATCGGTGTGTTTTTGACTCGGTCCACTGGGAGTCACTGGGAGATACAGCTGAACCCAGCAGGCACAGGGTGGAAAGTGAGAGTACACTCAGGATGAGACAGACCAGTCCATCTCAGGGCGTGCCATGATCACCACCTCCACTGCACCACTCTCCTAAAATATTCTGTCCAGTTTTTTTATCTGGAGTTTTCTAAAGGTCAGAAATTGCAAGTTAACTTTGGGGAAAAAAATTGTCTGATCTGCAGCCTTGTGATGCAGGAGGCTGGGACATTTCCTAATGTAGAAATCTGAGAGAAGCCAGTGTGATATCACTCACCTTTCATGAGCACGAAATTCCCACTAATAGTTAAAACTGCTTGGGTTCTGGTATCTCAGCTAGTTTAGTAGTTCTCTGCACAGATAAAAATCTGAGAAGCCGTGATGTCAAAGCACTCTAATGATATGATTAAATATTTATGCTCCGCTGAAAATAGATGTAATATTCTGCCTAATTAATTTGTCAAGATAGGTCTTTGTAAGATCTTCATGTTGTAATCGACTGGACAAAACAGATGAGTGATCAGTCTTATCTACTGAAAGCTACTGGCACATGGCAAAGGAGCTCATGCAGAGGTTCAAATGAATCATTTATACCTGGTCCGTACTGGGGGAAAAAGCACTACTGTATAAATGAGCATGTATTTTCCCAGTTATCCCCAGACCAGTTGTGTAAATGAAGATGTACAGAGGGTTTACCTATTGGCTGACACTTCTTCAGGGGTAACTAAATCTGTCCGCTGCATGTTTCCGTCTCCCTGCACTAGTTTATTACAACCAGTAGGTGGAGCAGTTCCTCTTCACCATTTGCTGTTAAATTGCGTCTCCCTCCTTTCCTGGACCTGTAGAACACAGACACTGAGCACATGGGGGTTTTACAGTTGTAGAGCCACACACTGTGCACTGTGATGCAGCTGACAGTCTTCAGTTCTGTTAAACTAACTGAGATTTTGTTCTGG